GCTCTATAGCTGAATGTTAACAAACTGCAGTGCACAGCATATGGCTGGATCAGCTGAATCAAGAGTACAGAAGTAATCTCTGGTGTCTTACTGTCATTCCTGTAGTACCTATAATTTTTGACGAAGGAATGCTAACAAAGAAAAGAGTCTACTAGCTCTGTCAAACTTCTGAATATAGCAGGTGCAGATGAACAGAAGTAATCTTGTTTAAAAAAAAAAAAACAAGAAGAAGATTTATGCACTGGCACTTTGGGTGCGTGTGCTTATCTGTCAACAAACCCAGTCGTGAGGTAGAGATCTCAACTAAATACACGTTTCATGGAAACAAGCAGCCAGGCAGGGGGACGCCGCTAATGCTCCTGCGGAGTGATAAGCTGCAGCCTGAAACCAATCGTGTTAGGCTCAGTCTCAATATGTCTATCCAGAGAAAGCAAGGTTTCACTGTTTCTGGGGTGCGTGTTTGACTTGGACACAGCACAGCTCCCGGAGCGGTGGGAACATTCCTGTATCATGCAGTCCTGTAAGGCAAACAAATTATCCACAGGCTGACGTAAGATGGTCTAGATATGTGTGATTTCTTATATTTTATCCCTATAATGTTGTTTCTGCCAAATGAATGTCAAAATTCTGACCTTCCTGTACAACTGTAAAAGAACAAACCGATGTAATTATTGGCAAAGAAAGTACTTTTAGTTTTTTAGCTGCTGGTTAATTATTCCTACTCCAAAACAGTCTCAGAATTTTAAAGAACTGGCCTAGCAAAACACTGTCAACTGCCGACAGCTGAAAGCTATCTATAGGATATCTGGGAAAGAGAAATGCAGGGGGGGAAGTATTTCCTAACCCTGCGGAAGCACATTAGAGGTAAAGAGCTTGTATTGAAACAGAAGTATTTTACTCAGCATGAACTTCCTTAAATAAAGATGTTTGAAATGTATAAAGCAAATGAATGAGGAAGAATAAACAAGGTTGCCATGCGATACTGGCAGGCCCACGATTACTGTGACTATTAGCAACCCCTGTCAGGCAGGGGAAGATTACTGTCCCACTGTGTTAGTGGCATTTGTGATCTGGAACAGAAGTTCCTTATTTCCATTGGGAAAAGCTGCAGAGGATCAGTTGGAAAAAGGTTTTCTATCTTTTTGTGGGGGGATAGCGATAATATTTTGCTGGACAGGAATATATTGTCCCTGGCAGGAAAAAGGTTTCATTTGCAGCCTTGTGCTCAGAAGGTGGGAAACCCCTTGAGACTGTAGGTTAACTGCGATTTCAAACAGGGAACTAACTGGAGATGTATTACCAGACGGCTTGTAGGTCTTTGGGAAGTCTCTGCCCTCATCAGAGATGGCTGTTGTTCTTTTGATGGGGCCCAGAAAGGGGTGAGAAGAGGCAAGTGCAGACTTGAGCTGTAGAAACTGTTTGAAAATACTAATTCTGTATTGGAGTGGAAATTTACAGAATCCTGAGCTCTTCACATTATCGTTAGTTACAGTGAATTTAACAGCTTGCAGGGTTACAGCAAGATAAGATATATATTGTACTTAAGTATAGAAATTTGATTAGAAAGTTAATCCACTGTTTTAGAGAATGCCATTGTTTAAAGTTATCTTACTCTGGATTTAGTATTTGTGATAGAATTATATCTAGTTTTGGTAAAATAATTGCTGGCTTTCTGGACTGGTCAGTTAGTTAAGCAACAAACAAAGATTTCTGTATCACTTGTTAAAGAATGATGCAAGAACAGGCATGCAACAGCCAAATTAATCTTTACTGTTGACAGTGCTCTAGAGATATTTATATGTAATTGCAGGCTCCTCCTTCAGTGTTAGGAGAAAAATTGTTAAATTATGACGACTAACCTAAGTTTTGAGGTAATAATGTTATCTAGACTATTGGCTTTTACTATTAAATTCCATTATTTAAGGAGTTCTTTATGAATAATTTGTTTGAAAACAATGTTCCAAATTGAAAGGCCAGTGCAATTTACAGATGCACTTTTAAAAATACATTAGTTGTAACAACATTTTAACAACAGTGTTGGCTGCTGGCACAAGTGTTGTTCTTCTAAAATTAGTTTGTTATTGTTTATGAAAGTATTTTTTAATCCTAGGGTAGGAAGATTTCAGGTTGTAAGTTATCAGAAGAGTAAATGCCACATCGATGGTAAAACCTGGCTTAGCCCCCAACACCAATGCTTTGTATGTTTCTCCAGTTTACAGCCCCCTGTATAACAACAGTACCTTAGAGATATTTTGAATGATGTTAATGGATACGTGTTTGTATAGATTATACATATATTTATCCAAAGTTTTTTGTAGTCACTGACTATATCTACTTCTGGTTAAAACCAGTAGTCTTCAAACAGCGCACAGAGGCAACGCATACATGCAGGTCCTCAGGGCAGATATGACATTCATTTTATTGAGGCATAAATGTGTCAGGTATAAAATCCAGAGAATTCTTAGCTCTACCATGGCTTTGTCATGCCTAACAGTTATAGGAGAGGCTGCAATTATTACTGTAGCATTTGTGTTGGTAAGAATATACTTCCTCCGCCCTCTAACTCTCAGCATGATTATCTATCACCAAAAACATTGTGCCTCCAGGGAAATGTACAGAATCAGCAATTTTATTTCTAATCAGACTTGGTGTTACCCTTTTAAATGAAGAAATTCCTCCTTTCTTTGACAATGAGTTTCAACGTTAACATGGAAGCAATCAGAATCAAACCATACTGAACAGCCGGCCTCCAATGATACCCCTAAAAAAGTACTTCTTTGGTTTTTACGCGTGATGAATTACAGAAATGTTGGTGACCTGATAGCTCTGCCTTGGAGATGCAGTTCTATGGAGCTATATGTATGTGTTTGTGTATTGCCCAGTGGCAAAACCTCCATTTATCTCGGGCACAATAAGGGTGATGCTCTGAATCTTCTAAATACCACGTCGGTGCTCTCCCTGGTAGGGTGATTTAGGCGGACACCGTAACACTCTCGTCACAAAGCTCTCCTCTTTCATAAGAATTCACAAATTCAATAACAGAATTATTGAAAAACATTAATAGTATTGGTATTAATGAAAAGCCATAGAGCAGGATGAGCCACTGTGTTCAATCTAAATTCTGAAAATTAAAGCAATTTCATTTTTATTACCTTTTTTTTTTTTTTAGATTTGTAACGTGCATGAGAGATGGAAGATAATCTGTGGAGAAGCACTCAATTTTTAATGGTCTATGGACCAAAGGGTACTTTTAGTCACTCCAGTGTAAGCCAGTTGACTGAACTGGAGCTCTCCCAGTGTAGCAGAGTAGGGTTTGGCTGCGAAGTGACCTCGCTAATAAATGAGGAAGGTGGCTCACACAGAAGTGTGTTCTTTATACTGACACAATCCAGCTACGCTGGCTTCTTTGGTTTGTATTGCACAGTGAGCAGCAACAGACGGTATTTCTTGTATAGAAAGAGGTTTCATGCGTCGACCCCGTTTAAGAAATCTGTATTAATTTAAGTATATTGAAACCTTAAGGGCGAGAACTCGCCAGAGACGACAGTGGGGACCCAACGCAACTCCAAAGATTTGACATCACCGCGGTGTTGGAAGTGCCCGTAGCATAAAAGGATGAATTTTAAATATTTGTGAAAAAAACAGTGCAGCTTGTGACTGCTGCTCTGCCAGACCGGTGTTCCGCGGCTCCGGCTGCGGGGGTCCTGCAGGCACCCCCCCGTCTGAGGGGCGGGTTTCACGCGGGTAAGCACGTGCCGGAGTGAGCCCTTGGTTTCCCACTGCCGGAGTGACTCACGTTGGGCCCGAACCGGAGCCGCTGGAGCGGCCCGACGCGCTGCCCGGCCG